CACTGCTCATTTGGACTGAGGGCAGTTGGTGGCTTTTAGATCACAATCATTGTTAAGCAAAGATGAAACTGTTAAGACAGCGGGGTACAATTTTAATGACAATGAAAGCTTTGAGCATCAGCTCACATCTGAAAAACATCAGAAACCTCTTCCATTTGCTGATAGACCAGCATACATCAAAAAACAAGGCTGTGATGTTTTGAAAAGACATCAGAAAAAAGCCACGACTTGAACTGCAGACAGCTGTATTTGCTAAGGAAAGGAAAGCATTAGCATTCTGTTTATCATTTCCTGTTACACCTTGTCCTTTAGATTATGAATTTTAAAATGGCGACTATTTTTGGCCTCAAAAGCAGGTAGGACAGAATTAGTTCAAGGATACCTAATAAGGTCCCTAAGGGAATATTACAGCTAATGGATTCTGAATTCTTAACTTGACTAGAGGTTTATTGACGTAATGTGTTTATATTCGTCAAGAAAACAATTCTGCAATTACCTTGCAGAAAGCTTCTATTGCCAATTCTGCAAGTTTAGTCCCATCAGTAAATGAATGCAATACTAGATAGACTGGAACTTTTGAGCTGAAAATGCACAAGTAGCATGGTAGGGAGTCAGTCAATAAACCAACAGAGCATCTTGTATGAAGAGGAACAAGCTGAAATTCTGATTTAATTCAGACCTCTGTAAGGCAGTTGTAGAAAGGTGTAAGACAGACATTAGCCCAAACTGGGAACATCACAAACAGAAAATGGAAGTGCTTCCTTTAGAATTTAACAACGACCAAATTGTTAAGTCAGTCTGTAGGCTTGGGCTCTTTTGGACCCTTTGGGCACTTTTACTCATGCTCCAATGCATTTGGATTAGAACACGCCAGAGCAGACTTGATTAATTGAGTCTGCTGAAGCGCTCTAATCTCCAGCGTGCTGCAGTGTCTTGTGTATTCAGTGTCCCACATTTCAAAATGACAGTGGGGGTGCTTTAACTAAAACTTGTCCAATGAGCTTTAGCTAAAGTGCCCCCACCGCCATTTTTAAACATGGGATGCTGAATATATGAGATACTATGGGCATTTTCATGAAAGCGGCTCCTGCAAGCCACTCTAATTAAAACATTCCTCCCCACCACCCTACAGAAGGGTGTAGATACCCATTGTCGTTATGGGATTCTCCAATAGCTACAGCCACAAAAAATGACTGGGTAGCAGATTACACTCCATCCTCTTGGGTCCATACGAGGCACAGTTACCAGTGAACTATGAACTCTAGGCCTGATTACAATTGCAGTTTATTTAATCTAGGGCTGAAGATGCACACACTCTAAGAAGTTCCAAGTGACAGAAAGCACAGCAGCTACCAGCTTAGCAACCCACAGCTATCATAAACAGTTTATCCCAGTCTACCACTGTCTCCCTACTTCCTCAATGCACACAAAATCAACTTCATGGAGTCTATACTGAATTCAAATCCTCCATGGAATTGATTTCCTCATCCTTTTTTGCAAACGTGACACCCCACAGCAGCCAGAATAACAGAATTACTGACCAAGGAAGAGTCCTGTGAGTGCAGGAGATCAAACTTCCAGGGCAGATGTACCTAGCTTATGAAACTCACCCTCATCAATGGTATGAATAACTATGGAACGTGCCCCTCATAAACAACCAGAAATCTTATTTCTTAACCTTGCTTTTTCTCTTCATAACTCTTTCATGCACATACAACCAATTACTGTTAAAAAAATTATATGAAGAAATCAAAGGTATTTCTGACATAAGCTGGGAAGGAAGAAATGGAGAGAGAGCAACTGCAACTCGTACTATTCATTCTTTTTAAATTCTTGAAAGGTCCTGAAACACCTATGATGCTGGACACAGAAAATAGCTAAAGTTCATCTGTGATTGTCTTTGCATTTTGGGCCACTCAGGCTTTGAAACAGGGACTGATGGATTATGTTATTTCCTGTGCATTTGCTTTGTAGCGTGCAGCCAGCTTGGCTTTTCCTCTTGCTGTAGCATTATGTGAAAAAGAGTGGCTTAGCGTTACAACAGGCTAACTTGATATGGCATGCAACATTAAATGCTGCTTTGAGGCAGCTAGTAAGATAATAGGTATCACTGCTCTGTTTCCTCCTTGAGCTGCTAACTTGCTGTCAGAGGTTTCCAGTTTTGTAGAACATGTTAATTGCTCATGTGGACAATAGTTGTTAAAAGCACCTTGGCTGTCTAGCAGTGGGACCTGCAAATTGTTTCATTCTATAGAACAGATGACTCAGCCTCTCAATATCAGCATCTCCTAACACAGACTGGAGAAATCAATATGCTCAACCCAGAATATTGAATGTGCTGATGATCCTATTTTGCTGAAAATCCACAGATGCAGAAAGGCAATATCTTACCACACTACTGTATTAACAAGCATTTGATTTGGTTCCTAAAATAGTATATAAATACTGTAATATTATGACACAATTCAGCAAGGCAGGTAGATCCCTTTGTATAAGATTAAGCCTAGGCTTAAGCCCCTTTCTGAATTGAGGCTTGTGTGCAAAGGTGTAGGGATGGGAAGAAACAAAATAAAATACATGTAAGCTGATAAAGTGGGAAAACAGTACAAACCCTGGTACCAGTGACAGTGCTGCTAGAGGCATCCTGTGTGGTAGGTTCATGTTTACTATATAATAGTTTTATTACATGTATAGAGATAAGTAATTTGTACCTGTGATAAATAACAATCTTTACTAGAGAATCATTTAAAGGAACTACAATATATTCAGAACTACAACATATTAAAAAATGATAATTAATCAATTGCATGATTAATAATTAATTTATAAATTGCTTTGCAAGTTCCAACTTTCCTTTACAGATAAGGGACTAAATTAATGAGGCTTTAATGATACAGACATGAGGAAGGAAGCATGTGTTGAGGAGTGACTGTTGGTAAGTCCAAAAGGAGCTGCTTCTTTTTGTTCTGATAAATTCTGAGGCTGGATCCAGATGTGCAGCATATGTGGTCTGTGGCACTGAAAACCTCTTCGCGCACCACAAACCGCACATGTTGCAGCACTGGGGTAAAATTAGCTACCGGGATTTCCTGGTAGCAAAAAATCCCCTGAAAAGAAAGTGGCACAAAACACGTCAAAGCTCCATGTGCTGGGACAAAGGTGAAGACCCTGGGCTGTCTGCTTTCCCACCTCCATGTGCCAATACTCAGCTGGCTGGGGCACAGGGTGCCTCAGTGTAGCGGCTGTCTGTGGTTAGCTTCACGCTGAGGTACCCCCTGTGCCCCAGCCACCACCTGCTGCAGCACGTGGAGCAGCAGGACAATGTGTTTCACTGCAAACCACACAAGTAGAGCAGCACAAAGTAGTGGCACAATTTTGTGATGCTACTATTTGTGCTGCTGCAAATGCATGCCCCTGCTCATGTGGACACAGCCTGGGGTGCTATTGCTAAAAATCTTAGTGTGGCAAAAATGATGATAAAAACATATTTTGGTTCATTTCAATTAAAAAATATACAGTTTTTGTTCTCAGCACCTTTGGATTCAAAACAGATCTTCAGTTCAATCCCACTCCCACTGGACTTAAATACATAACTCTCAATGACATCACTGAGAACAATATTAGGTCTTTGAATATTAATATTGCATAGATAAATGACATCCTGCCCACAGCTGCACTATTCATCCTCTTTAAAATAAATCTTTCATGCATAAGTTTTCACAGAGAAATTTTCCAAGGGAAGGACTGTGACTTCCTTTGCTTCATGTGGAACCAAACATGTGCTTAACAAATAATGTGACAACAGTATATATACTGCAAACATGTTAAGGAGGTCTGTTCTGCCCTGAATATGAACGTGTGCCTCATTTAGATTATACAGAGCTAGGTGCATGTACCAAAGGGCTGGTAAAGTTCTTTCCCAAACACTGGAGTAATTTAAGAACACTAATCACCCTTCCAGGGAAAATACAATTCTGTTTATAGGATTGGTGGCAGGGAATTCAGACAGCTGGATTTCAGTCAAAACTCTACATTAGAATTCTTATTACTCAGCATCAGCTGACCTGAAATGCATGAATTGTCCCAAAGAATTCAGGGGACAAAGAATATACATAAAGCACGAGCTTAATGGCGCAAAGGAGAGCATTTGAATCTGCTGCTGAATTAAATAAAAGCGAATACATTCATTTGGATTTGAGACGTGTGAAGGTATGCCTCCCAGAAATGGTAGGTGTTTTTGGGACCAGCAGGTCATGGATGTATGAACTAAACTGTATTTTCAGCTGCTGGCTTAAAATTTTCCATCAAAATTATTTGATTGGTTTTTGATTAAATAACATTTTTCCTGAAGGATATCACTATCCATAGAAGATTCTTATTAATAATCACTCTTCTCCCAATATCAAAAATCTCTGTCAGGTCACTAGGTATGAGTTAGATTCATAGATTCATAGATTTCATAGACATCAGGGCTGGAAGGGACCTCGGAAGATCATCGAGTCCAGCCCCCCCGCCCAAAGGGCAGGAAGTCAGCTGGGGTCATAGGATCTAGTTTAAGCTAGACAAATCAGAGCCATCTTAACTATACAACCAATGGGCTTGTTCCTTTACAAAATGGGTCCAGTCGCCATATTGCATCTGTGACTGCTATAGAAACAGGTCACTACCCTACCGAAAGGGGGGGAAAAACAACAAATCATTTAGATCACAGATTAACAGCAAAACCCATAATAATCATGTACCTTTTGGCTGGTTAGTATTTCCTGCTGTATTTTGCTCTTCAATTTTTGTGGAATCCTTCAAAGTCTCATATTCTTTTTCCATTTTAGCTGCTTCTTCCTTTGTGCTGTCAGTCTCTTCATTACTCTTGTCTAAAAGGCATTGCAAACATAGCCATCCCTTATTTTTGCACTGTAATTGCCAATATTTGTAAATCACATTAGGATGTTCTTTGGGTAGGTTAATGATTTTGACTGATGATACAGGAAGAAATTAATAGCTTGAGTAGGATGTGTTTCTAAATGTCATCTCCGGCCTGGATCGCTGAAAATGCCTGCATCATCTCTTACAAAAGATAATCCAAGTCAGTCAATTAAAATATAATGTACACATCCTTTCAGGTCTGGTTTCAATGGCTGAAGGAAAACGATAGGTGTTTGGCCGTTGCTTTCAATGAGCATTGGATCAGGTCCTAAAATTCACAGACCAACGACTATCTATTTTGGTCTTATTCTGCACGAAGCACAAAGAAATCAACCTCATAATAGCAGAGAGCCAGGTACTATAAAGTGCTTCAATTGTTGTTACACATGGCATGAGCAATCTGCACTTTATACAGTCTGTTCCAGATCCCCTCCAGATTCAAGTTAACTTACAGTCTCCCAGCATCCCAGGATGCTTTGCACATCCCTCACAACCCCTCCCCTCACAGAATGGGTGGGCTAGCTTTGGCCCAAGCTGTCTGATCCAGCTGAGCAGGGAGGTATGCTCTAGCGCCCCCCAGGTTTTGGTTTGAGCCACTGCAGGCATGTGGCTGCATTTTTTGAATCAGAAGTGAATGTCTGTTCACTTGTTTACTGGTTTAATCTACACAGCTTAGACTAACTTGTGAAGTTTTAATCAATTCAGCCTTGGGCTTTTTGACTGTCTGTACTTAGCCCTAGGGACTACAAGGGGAGAGAGTAATAGGCTAAGTACCTGCTAGCAGCTTGTTTTTGGTATCAGTAGAAGGTTTCTCAAGCTTATTCTTTGTCTGCAGAGCAATCATTTCATCCAAGTTTTCTGGAAAACAAAACAATTCCCAGTTATTCTCCAAAAGAAAATGAGAGTACCCACATTATACAGTCAGGCAAGACAAGGCTCAATTGCCTGTTGAGAAGAAAATTATTAAGGAAGGAGTTAAAAATCCTTGTTTCTGAAAAAAAAATGTAAAGGCAAATGATTACCAAGTGATAGAATGGATACATGATTAACTTTAACTAGAAAATCTTGAATATCTTCAAGTAAGAAGAAAGTATGATACTACATGATACCAAATGAGGCCAATATACATAAAAGACAGGGAGAGGAGCAAGATTTATTCAAAACTGAGCTTAATTTAAAACAAGAATCTTTTTCAATTTTGATTCAATGAATGAAGTCACACTGCATCAGGCAGCTTCTTCTGCTGAAAACAATGGATGTATGTAATTAAAGATATATCTAATTCAAATGCTGCTTTTCCTGGAAGGAGAATATTCTGTAGCAAATGCTTTTATAGAGTTATTGGCTAATTAAGTCCAGTTAAAAAGGTTTTATGCAGCATTTAAAGTAGAATAGATTTTTTTTAAAAGAAAAGGTTGACAGAAACAAATTAAGTAGATAATGGTGGCACCTCTTGGGAACTGAATAACAATTCTTTCTATTACCTGAAAATCTTTTGGGCTGAACTCTTGCCTCATGGAAAAGTCAAAGCAGAATTTCATCAGCATGCACATTTTCTATGTAAGCAAGACACGCTAGTAAAGAAAAACAGCCCTTTTTCTGATACTGCACTCACTGGCACAGCTACAAACAGATGATAATGTAACCATCTATATTCTCATCTACATTGTGGAATTTGTGCAGACTTTGCCTGTTCTTTTGCTGTGCTTTTAGAAATATAATTAAACATAAATCCCAAATTCTGCATTTATAAATGTCTGCTCTGTTAGATTTTTTAGTGGTCGTTTGATTCGGAGATGTTCATCTTTCCTGCGTGGAAACAGACAAACCATTCAGTACCAGGAATGGTGGCTGAGGGCTGAAAGGAGTTTTATTGGACCAGTAAAAGCCTTAAATATTTTCCATCATGTTTTACTTATGAGGTAGTGAGAAAAACAAAGCTGATCATTTTACCCATCAGCTAAAAGCATCTTTTTCCAAGGGATAGATCTCTAGAGCTGCAAGTAAAAGGTTAGAATTTAAACAATCATATTTCACAGCAAATTACCAACAGCACTTCTGCCCTTCATCTGATGAAAAATAACATAATCCTGTGTGATGGACAGAGCCATTTATATATTCATTGACATAAAATAAAAAACGAAAGCAGCTTTTCTATGGTGGATTTTGGATGTTTGCTGATAAAAAAGGTTTGTCTCATTGTAAACCTATTACATTACATTATAATTAATACAATTTCCAATTTCCTTTGTAAATACATTTTCATTTATACCTCTCTCTAATATGATACTGTTATCTTGCCACCTGCCCTCCACTAAGCAGGGTTGGGTTTGGTGAGTTGCTGGATCAGAAACACACAGAGGGGGAAAAAAGAAACAACCTGGTGTTGTTAGAAGTGGTATTGATTGATGCCTCAGTAATCACCTGACCCAGAGCTCACTGAGGTCAGTGCAGAGACTCCTTTTACGTCAATAGGCTATGAGTCAAGTGCTGTTTTCCACTCTTGAGTCTGCACTGCACCAGGACTTCAGTTTGGGTACAGGGACTGCTGTGCTATAGGCATTAGGATCTTTTAGATAAGATGCAAATGTGAGATCTTAGCTTGTATTCCTCAAAAACAGCCTAGACATTAAAAAAAAAAAGAAGGATATTTACCTTGTTTCTTTTCATAAAATCTAACCATGTAAATATAATCTCTTTAAATTCCCTGGCAGTAAGTGGGATAATGTATTCTCCCTTATTTCCTGAATTATGATGTTGTGAAGCATTCTGACCCCTTAAGAGCTTTGTTGGATTAAGTCTTAAAAAGAACATGCTTAATTTTAAGCACAAGTTCTACTGAAATAAAAAGAATTATTCAAATATTTAAAATCAGGCATGTGCTTAAGCGTATTGATTGATTAGGGCCTCCAGTGCCTTCTGTACTCGCTCTCTGAAGTGGCTGCATTTCAGAGGCAGATGAAATTATATTCCTTGTACTATGGAAAGACCAAGAATCTTCCTTGGTTAAAGTTAAAACAAGGCTCCATTAAGAGGCTGGTTTTCAACCTTTGTATAAATCTTTTGATAAAAATGATTGTTTCCAAATCTGAATGGCTTGGAAACACAACAAAGAAAAATTAAAAGTACAACTTCTTCTTGAAACACTGACAGAATATAGAACTTTTAATTTGCAAATCACCTAAGTGATTTAGGAGCACTGGCCCTGCTGAAAGTACTCCTAAGTCACTGAGGTGCTCCTGAAAACCCCATACTAAAACATAATTTTTTTTGTGTGCTAATGCAATATAACTTTAATTCATATATATCTTATGAGTGGGACACAGTCTTGTTAAACATGCTGGACATGGATAGTAGGGCTGTGCTAAAGGGCACCGTTCCATTTTGACTTGCGTTTTGACATTTTGACAGAACAGCGTTTCGTTTTAAATTTCATTTTGATTCGAAACTGCTGTTCCATTTCGTTTTGTCGAAACGGTTTCACAGTTTCAACCTGTTTTGATCTTTTGCCCGTAGGCTATAATGGGGAAGCTCAAAACAGCCTATAACTGTCATTTCTGGCCTGATTTGGATGAAACTTGCAGGAATGGTAGTCCATTCTGAGGGCATCATGTCTGCCAAGTTTCAAGGAGATAAGTGCAGGGGTTTTGGAAAAAAACTGCACCTCAAATTCTTGAAAGCAAAACTCATGTCACGTGTAAGTGTTAAGCCACAACGGGGCCAAAACTGTAGGCATGCTAGGCCCTGATAATGCAATGAAGCTTGCCAAGTTTCAAGGAGATAGGTGCAGGGGTTTGGGGGAAACTGTACCTCAAGCTGCGGACAAGCAAAACTCATGACATGGGTGACACTGTGTGTGTTAAGGCGCAGCAGGGTGAAAGCTGCAGGGATGCTAGCCCCTGCTGCGGCCATGAAGCCTGCCAGCTGTCAAGGGGATAGGTGCAGGGGGTTCTGGGTTCTGGGGCCCTGCACCTCTGGCTGCTGACAGGCAAAACAATGCTGTTTTTATGCAGTTTTTCCATCCCTCCCCCAGAGCACTGGGACTGGAAGGGACCTCAGGAAAGGATGACAGTCACTGGCCAGCTACACAGTCAATAATGAGAGCACTCCTTCCCCCTCCCTCCCCTTACTTTAGTTTCTGTCTCCCTGCAGGCAAGCCCAGCTTGAGCTTCGAAACTCGAAACATTTTGAAAATTTCCATGCGTTTTGACTTGCCTCGTTTCGTTTTGAGGCTCTTTCAAAGCTCTCCGTTCCATTTCGATTTCACTGTTTTGAGCTCAAAATGAGTCTAAACAGTGTCAAAATGAAACTGTCGTCAAAATTTCGCACAGCCCTAATAGATAGCAGCTGTCTAGCTTATTAGTGGTATATATACAATACACATATTTATTTATACATGATGTATAAAATAGCAGTGTTTCTCACTAATGAATCAGAGTTCCTCACTGAAGCCAAACAACAGGATATGATGATGGATAAAAACTGATATGTAATCTGTGAGATCTCAGAAGTAAATGTTGACAATCGTATATGCAAACCCTTTCAACAGGGAATGCTTGTTATAGGAAAAACCATAAAAAGCACAGTTAACTGTATGCACAATAATATAAAGATTTAGCAAGCTATTGCACTTTAGCTATGCAAACCCATTAATGTTCATGGGGATTGCACCGGCACACCTTTGCACACAGCAGCAATAAAGTTATGCTGAGAGGCCAGATTGTTTTTTTTATCTGATTTAGAACCTACTAATTGTCAAATTAAAACCCCCTAACAGCTGACACAATTTTTAAGCATGTTTGTACTAGCGCTTCCACTAGATGTGGCTGGGCCATGGTTGAACAATGTTTGCTTTGAGTTATACTAATGGAGTGAGTCATCTCTAGAGTTGAGATGCGTATGGCCAGTAGCTAAGCAACTGAATGTCCTATTTGGTGGGTTAACAAGATCTGATTATTTATCTGGTCTGGTTTCCTTAGCAACCTAACTTTGTCATGGGAAGAATTCATAAAGGTTAGGATCTTTTATCAGTCTGGCCACCTATTTGTAAGGGTAGTAATCAGAATAAGAAAATAAGAGCTAATGGAAGTGACCCATGCTGGTAAACAGGCCATCCCACTGGCTGAAGGCTTTCAGAAGACCTTTACCTGTCCCAGTGGTGGTGTTGTCTTATGGTTAGATCCACATCTG